TTGTCCAAGGTCCTGTCCCTTTCCTTTCTCAGACGAGCTCCTTCCCTAAAACCAGGGTCTGGTCCCCTTGATCCTGACATTTTTAATCCTCCCCAGGGAAGCAGCCTCTCTCTCCTTCCTGCTTTCATGGCAGGAGTCAGAGGCTGTATTCAGCCTAGATATGAGGCTGTAAACCAATTTCTAGATCATGTGGCTCTTTTGGTTTAGCAGGGGGGGAAAAAACCCTAATGTTAGGTGCTGTACCTCATACTGTATATGCCTTACCTCATGTTGATCCTAGTGTGGCTATTTTTGCCTTTCCCATATCACAAATGAGAAAACCGAGGCCTAGTGAAGTTAAAGCAACCAGCCCAAGTCATACCTAGTATGTTCATTTTTCATTGCTGCTATGACAAATTCAGTGACTTCAAACAGCACAATCGTATTGCCTTACCGTTCTGAAGGCCAGAGTGGAACATAGGCTGATGGGGCTGTGTAAAGGAAAACCTATCCCTTGCCTTTTTCAGCCCTTACAACCCACCCATGTGCGAACTGAGTCTGGTTTCCTGAGCCCTTTCTCTCAGATTCCGTATCTGTAAAATGGGTCTATTAGCAGTCCCTCCATAAGGCCATGGCTGAGGTTCAACCTTGCACCACCCTGGTGAGTCCTCCTTGGCTTCCACTGAGGCATTTCTCCCAGTTTTCACAATTACACGACACTTGCTCTCCAACAGAGTGAGGGCCCTGGAGGAAGTGTTCTCTCTGCCCCGAGGCTTATTTCCTTAGGGGACACACCCAGAAGTGCACCCTGCTTCTGTTTCTGCTCAGCCCTCGGGTCACGGGAATCATGGTATCCTCCACTAACAATGTCCTCATTTAGGTTTGGTCACAGTGGAGCCTGCAAGACCTCCCTGTTGAATGTGGCCCTGTTCCAAGGGCCAGCTCTGTTGTATCCTAGGCCACCCTGGCGCTCCACCTTCTGAGCCCTTAGAGTTAAGCCTTTATGGTCTCAGCCCAGGAGTGAGGCTGGTGGGATATAGTGCACGGCCAGGACAGCATCACAGTGAACAGCTGGGGACCGGGCTGGAGGGGCTGAGGGAAGGGCATCAGGCAGGGCAAACAGCCGGCAGGCACAGCGTATCTGTAAACAACACTGGGAGAACAGGGTGAGACCCGTCCACTGAAGCCTGTTGCTCAGGGGAGAGGTGAACTGGGGTTACAACAGAGATCTGAGACCAGCAGTCTGAAATAGGGAATGTCTGGCCCTTTACAGAAAATGTTCCCTGCGGCCTGGGGCAGAAGACTGCTCAGAGTTTGCAAAGGCAGGTGCCAGACATCCGGAAGGAACAGACATAGGGAGAGGGAGCCATGATGTTGGAGAGACAGTAGGAAGGGGTGAGAAGTGTTCGGAAGGGAATTCCGGACTGGAGACGTGGCTCAGTGGCACAGCACATGGCCCTGGGTTCCATCCCCAGCACAGTGTAAATGAATAAATAGTGAGTTGTCCTCCATTTAATTATCAAAAGCAGGGCTGGGGATTTAGCTCAGCGGTTCGGTGGCCTGCCTTGCAAGCGCGAGGACCCAAGTTCGATCCCCCATACCAAAAAAAAAAAAAAAAATTTTTTTTATCAGAAGCAACAGGGACTTCTGTTTATTAATACTCCTCCTGTCCCACCCTCCTTTTTTTTCAGTCCTGGGGTCCGGGGGTTGAACCCAGGCCCTTCACACTGAGCTACACTGCCATCACCTCCACCCTTTCTTTTTAAAACAGAGTCTTGCATATAACTAAGCTGCCAGGCTGGGCTCATACTAACCCTCCTGCCTCAGCATCTGAGAGGGCTGGGATTATGGGCGTGTTCCACCATGCCTGGCCTCTCCCATCCTTGTATCCTCAGCCAAGGCAGACACTGTTTTCCTTCCACAAAATGTGTGAAAAAGTCTCTGGGGGACATTTTCCAGCCCCTTCTTACCCCAGCAGGTAGTTGTGGGTACTTGTGCTGACACCTGCTCGGCTCTGTTTCTGATAGCATCTCTCATGGCCCCATAACCCCTTTTATTTCCGAGATCCCACAGCCTCGAGAGCTTCGGTTTAACAGCTGTGGCAGTAGTCACAGAGAACATGCCCATGTAAAAGGGCAGGGCGGCTCGCTGTCAGCCCTAAGACACCGGAAGTCCAGACGTTGCTGTGAACAAACGGGACTCAGCCCGAGTGCCAGCTGTGCCTCCTCCTCCCCTTGCGTCCTTGAGCCACTGGCTTACCTGCCTCAGCTCCATAGTGTGGGGGGGGGCAGCTGCAATTACTCCAAGGGGTGACAACTACCCAACGGGAACACCGTTGGGCTATTGGGACAGTGCCATGCAATCTGTTTTCTAAGTGCTACAGTTTAAAACTCAACGCTGCCAACAGTTGATGGCCCAAAGAAAAAACAAGAATCTTCAGCTTTGGGGCTGTGGGTCCTGAGTTTGCTTCCCGTTCCGGAGTCTAAACCCAGCTCTGACATTTACCAGCTGGTGACCTTGGTGGGAGAAGCAGCTCCCTCTCTAAGAGTTAAGTCATTGATTAGCTACGGTCACCATGAGTGTGGGGGTAAAGGGCCTGGAGGATAGTTGGGCACAGTGGCGCACGCCTGCAATCCTGGCAGTCTGGGAGGCTGAAACAGGAGAATCAAAATTCAAACCCAGCTGGGGCAATTTAGCAAGACCCTGTCTCAAACAATTAAAAAATATTTTAAACAAGGGGGTGGGGGCAGAGAGGTAGGTTGGTATGAAGACCTTAGGTTCAATCCCCGGGACCACAAAGTAAATATTTCTTTAAAAAAATAATAATAAAGAGCCTGAGGGATGGTCACTTTCCTGCTGAGGGTTGGATGGTGGGGTCACAGGAGGGAGGGACAGAGCTCAGATTCTACAGTTAACTGCCACCCTCCCCTCCCCCTTGACGCACACACCCGGGCCAGGTGGCAGCTCCCCAGGGATCACCACCAGGTGTGGCATGGTGTCCTCTGGGCCTCAGCCTCTATCTCCGGGTCTCTATCCCTTCACTCTGTGGCTTCTTTCTCTACCCCTCTCTTGCTCCACCCCTGCCAATTCTGTGGGTCTCCCAAAGGCAAGTAGGGCACAGAGTCCCCTCCAAGTTCCTCTCTAGGATGAGAGCCACTCAACCATTTCCCCCATTCCCTGTGGCCCCGCCAGGACTCCTGTGGCCTCAGACACCCCTGGGCTTCGACAAGTCTGAGCCATTTGAGAATCCTGCCTGCCCTGAGGGTGAGAAGGGCAGACCTCTCGGGATAGTGCACCTCAGGATGGGGTTCAGTCTCATCTACCACGAACAAAAGGACTGGGATAACCCAGCAGCATCAAGGGTGGGTTTGCTCTCAGCAGAGCACTGAGCTGGGGTGTGGGAATGAGTACCCTGTCAGCCCAGCAACAAGGCCCTTCTCCCCACTGTACCCCTAACAGGCATCTTTGTGTCCTTGGCCCCATGGACACCCTGAGGCAATCCCCCTCCCCCTGCTCCTCGAGACCCTCCAGCCCCAGGACCCCACCCTGCGAGATGCCTGCCTCTGTGGGCATTGAGGCAGTGCTGGACCAACTGAAGATCAAGGCCATGAAGACAGGGTTCGAGTTCAACATCATGGTTATAGGTGAGTGAGGTGCAGGGGGCTTCTGGACACAGGGCTTGAGCATGGAGCCTCAGCTCCCCATCTGTTAGTGGTCCTGATCTTGGTAACTGGTAGGAGAGCTGTTCTTGAAAATCTGGGAAACACAAGCCATTAAAGACAAAAATTATCCACAAAGCTCCAGCCAAGTGACAATAATGGGAGAGGGTCAAACTCCTGGACATGGCAACCTGGGCATGATCTTGATACATCGGTACTGTGATCAGTTTCTACAAACTCACTGAACCTGCCAGGTATGATGACCTACGCTCGTAACCCCAGCACTCTGGGAGACAGAGGCAGGAGAATCCAAAGTTCAAGCCTGGCCAGGGATTTAGCTCAGGGGTGCTGCTGCCTGCCTAGTAAGTGCAAGGTCCCGAGTTTAATCCCTGGTACCAAAAAAAAAAA